GCAGGACCATGACCATGCCCATGAAGGTAGGGGTGCTTTCTCCCTCTCTCTGTGTCTCTCTCAGGCCAATGCACGCATTCTCTGCAATTAATTTTTTTTTTCCAAGACCAGCAGATGGTGTAATGGTTAAGTTTCTGGACTTCCACGTAGTCAACCATGGTTCAAGTTCTGCACATGGTAGCTTAAAACTCATACCGGGTGTGTGCACATACGTGCCCAAAATCCCAAGATGAAAACAGAAGAGAAGATATTGCAGCATGGCCATCCCCCCTGGGAGGGATGATTTCTCACTTTCTCTCTCACTCTGTCTGTCTGTCTCTCTGGCAAGTGCATGTGCTCTAGAGCAAAAGTCTCTCTCTAAATAATAATAATAATTTTTGCTTGTATAACTAGCTGCCTTTGTTTCCTTTTATTTCTAAGGCCAAACAAAAATTTGGCCTCAGATTCTATTAGATCCTAAATGGAAGACTATTTTGAAATATTTTAAATCATGTTATTTCAGAAAACTGCTTCTATTAAGGTTAGTTACATTTTCATATGCTTTACCTTGAGTTCCATTCGATCTTCTTTTCGAAGCTGAGACTATGAACACCTGGAGAAACTTTTACTGAAAACCAAGGACTTACAAAGTGGAAAAGAATCTGAGAGATGATAAAGCTGGTAAAAGTAGTGCTGAGGGACAGATTGATGTTGGTGCCCATATTTCTTCAACCTGTTAAGAGAAATGATGGTTATAAATTGCTAGTTCATATAAGACTGGATTATTTATATTTAATTACAAAGAGTATATACTTGCATTCTTAGCAATTTTTAAAATTTAGCACAAATGTAAGTATATAAAAAGTATAAGAAATTTAAACCTTTAGTGTTTCTTCACCTGTACCATCTATTTGTCATATATCTGACATTTGTATTTAAAATAAAAGGAGGGGCCAGCAGATGGTGTAGAGGTTGAAGCACTGGTCTCCCACGTGGCCACAGTTCGAGTCCCAGAACCAAAGGCTTGAAAACTACACCAGACACATGTGTATCCGTGCCCAAAATCCTGATAGGAAACTAGAGAAGGGACTGCAGAATGGCCAACACCCTGGAGGGGGTGATTTCTCACTTTGCTTCTCTTTGTCTCTCTCTGGCAAGTGCAACTACCCTATGGCAAAAACCCTAAATAAATAAGTAAATGCAAAAATCTATTCTCTTAAAGAACTCAATATTCTACAGTTTGAAAGACATGTGTAATATCATGATATTCAAAATTATCTTAGAGTCTAACAGTAACAGAATTTCAAATGCCATAACTAAAAGTGTTAATATTATTTTAAATTAAATTTAGACAAATTATCTGATTTCTGCCTTAACTTTCCCATCTACAAATTGAAAAACCTAGGTAGATAATCTGTAAGAAACAATTAAACCAAAAATCATGGTACATTACCTAGAATAACAAAACAAAAAATAATTATATAACAAAGACTTCAGAAGGACAAGTTACATTTAAAACAAAATTAAAACCTTAAGAAGAATAACAATCTTAGAAAAGAGCCATACCACTGTTTAAATTAGTATTAAGCTTTTAAAAATATTCTATAATCACACATATCCTTGGACTAAAAAGTCTTTATGATTTTATTTCCATTTTTTTAAGAAAGGGTTTTTATAATAGAATGTCAGGTCTTAAGGATAGTAAACAGAACAAATAGTAATATTTGCATACACACACACACAAAGTATGTTTTCTATCTCATTGTACTGAACTTTATTCTCCTAAAAATCTTAGGAATATTCAGACTAAAACATTAAAGCATTTGCTCAAATCCAACAAATGCAGTGTTCAAATGGCTCCATCTTTAATAGAGATGACCTTCAAATGAAATCAATATACATTTCTAGTTGCCTAATTTGAAGAAATGAAGTCGCCTACTGAAGCCAATTCACCAGAGAAAAACCAAGTCATTGACTGCACTAGCAATAACCCCACTTCATTCTCTTCCAACCAGGATATCATAATAAGGATCAGTCTCCCATAGGGTCTCTTCTGAAGGAATTCATATATGTGAATTCATATATGTGTAATGATTTCTTTCCTTGTTTATTTGTTTGTTTGTTTTTTTCCTTTTTGGTGTGTATACTTTGGTAAAAATACTGAAGTTACCATTCTCATCTGTGAGACTATCGATTTTATTGCTCACTTTCTTTTTAATTCAACATGTGTTTATTAATCATTAAAAATCTCAGGAATCAGCTTGGGAACCAGCAGTTAGCGTAATGGCTATGTCGCTGGACTCCCACGTAGTCGACCGTGGTTCACGTCCCGGACCCGGTGGCTTAAAACTCACGCCGGGCGCGTGTGTGTGCGTGCCCAAGATCCCGAGAGGAGAATGGAGAAGGGATTGCGGCGTGACCATCCCCCCTGGGGGGTGATTTCTCGCTTTCTGTCTCTATGTCTCTCTCTGTCTGTCTGGCGAGCGCACGCGCCCTACAGTGAAAAAAATCTCTCCAAAAAAAAAAAAAAATCTCAGGAATAAATAAATAAATAAATAAATGCTTGAATGGATCAGTGATGGTTACACCAACATCTCCAACCAAGATCTCCTTGCCTTCTTCTACAATGATACAGTTTTTGTCTGCACTGAGACAGAATATGACAGCCTTCTTTCTTTTCTTGATTTCTTCTGATGCGGTGCATTTCCTAACTTTCATGTCATAAAAAATATGACATACTTCATCAGCAACTTGCACTCCTGAGGCCATCTTCGCGGTGGCTGTGGCAGGGACATGGGGGAGGGAGCTGACCAATGCTGAATCTAGGGAGCATCCTCCTTACAGAAGTGGGACCAAGAGACTGAGTGCGGAGCCAATGCGGGGGCGTGAGCTTAGCCTTTGATAAGATTTTTGTAGCTTCTCTGGAGCTTTCTTCACAAATAATAACGATGTCTGGATGTATTTTATTTATTTATTTACCTTATTGATTCTTTTTAGACTCCAACATAATGAGAAGTCAATTTCCCATAATTATCTATGCAACTACCTATGATGTTAGGAGTTATTATATATATACTGTCTATCAAATTGAAAAAGCTCCATAATAGTCTTAGACTACACATAAGGCAGATATGCCTACTCATATATTCTACAGATGGTCTTAGCTATTGCACTTAAGCAAGAAAACTAAAAGCATGTTATTTAAAAAGGAAAAATTAAAAGTTTCTATTTATAATCAATATTATAATTTACATGCAAAATCTAAAGGTAAATGCAAAATTATTTATTTTATATATTTTTTAATCAAGAATATTTTTGTATAATTGCCACAAATGAGTGGTTGAAATTTAAATAAAATTTGCTTGCAACAGTAGCAAATAGAATCAAAATAAAGCAATTTGAAGTAAAATAAACAAAATATTAAAAAATAATAATACAATTAACAATCTTTAAGTATTTAGAGTAAAATCTGCAAAGCATTGCTGATTTAAATTTAAGAAAAGTTAAGTAGGAATTAACAGATAGCTAATGGTTTTGTCTGTGGACTCCCACATCATCAAATGCAGTTTGACTCCCAGACCTGGCAGCTTGAAACTCAAGAAAGATGCATGTGCATGCATATCGAAGATTCCAAGAGGAAAATGGAGCAAAAGGTATTGCAGCATGACCATCCTCCTGAGGGTGATTTCTCACTTCATAGCTCTCTGCTTCTCTTTATCTCTCCAGTTAATGCGTGCACCCTATAGCAAAATCCCTCTAACATAAAATAAAAGAGAATTAAATAACTAGAGAGATGTATCAATATGAGTGATCAAAAGATTTATTATTATCATAAAATCTATTCTCCCCAGTTAATCTATAGATTTAGTACAATTTCAATCAAAATCCCAAGTTGGTTGAAGAAATTGACAAGTTGATCCCCAAAAAAGTATAAAAATACAAAGTCATTAAAATATCAAAAATATTTAAAACATAATATAATTGAAAAAAATTTAAAAATTGTGTAAAGCAGTAAGAAACAAACAAGCATGGTTTTTGTACAAAGACAAAGTAAAAATAGAATAGAATAGAATAGAATAGAATAGAATAGAATAGAATAGAATAGAATAGAATAGAATAGAATAGAATAGAATAGAATAGAATAGAATAGAATAGAATAGAATAGAATAGAATAGAATAGAATAGAATAGAATTCTCATTGTACTGAACTTTATTCTCCTAAAAATCTTAGGAATATTCAGACTAAAACATTAAAGCATTTGCTCAAATCCAACAAATGCAGTGTTCAAATGGCTCCATCTTTAATAGAGATGACCTTCAAATGAAATCAATATACATTTCTAGTTGCCTAATTTGAAGAAATGAAGTCGCCTACTGAAGCCAATTCACCAGAGAAAAACCAAGTCATTGACTGCACTAGCAATAACCCCACTTCATTCTCTTCCAACCAGGATATCATAATAAGGATCAGTCTCCCATAGGGTCTCTTCTGAAGGAATTCATATATGTGAATTCATATATGTGTAATGATTTCTTTCCTTGTTTATTTGTTTGTTTGTTTTTTTCCTTTTTGGTGTGTATACTTTGGTAAAAATACTGAAGTTACCATTCTCATCTGTGAGACTATCGATTTTATTGCTCACTTTCTTTTTAATTCAACATGTGTTTATTAATCATTAAAAATCTCAGGAATCAGCTTGGGAACCAGCAGTTAGCGTAATGGCTATGTCGCTGGACTCCCACGTAGTCGACCGTGGTTCACGTCCCGGACCCGGTGGCTTAAAACTCACGCCGGGCGCGTGTGTGTGCGTGCCCAAGATCCCGAGAGGAGAATGGAGAAGGGATTGCGGTGTGTTTAATTCAACATGTGTTTATTAATCATTAAAAATCTCAGGAATCAGCTTGGGAACCAGCAGTTAGCGTAATGGCTATGTCGCTGGACTCCCACGTAGTCGACCGTGGTTCACGTCCACGACCCGGCGGCTTAAAACTCACAGCTTATGGCATGGTGGTTGAGGCAGCTAGATCTCACACAAACAATTACACGGTTCAAGTTCTAGACCTGACAGCTTGAAAAACACACCTGGTGCATATGTGTGTGCATTCGTGCCCAAAATCCCAAGAGGAGATGGGATTGTGGTATGGCCACCACACCCTAGTGGGATGCCTTCTCTCTCTCTCTTGCTCCCTTTCTCTGCTAAGTTATATACCCTATAGCAAATAAAAATAAAAGAAAATCAATTAACTGTATATATGAGTTTTTTTTTTTAAAAATTGTACCATTTTCACCTATGCTTAATATTAACCCTAAATACATAAAAATGAGTTTTGCGTAGAAATTAAACATCATTAAATATGCTAAGAAAGATGTCTTCCTGAGAATAAAGGGAAATTTTTTTCCCTAAGAATAAAGTAAATGCGGGTCTAGAAGTCAGGTGGATAATTGAAGAAAATGGAGTCAGAAGAATGAAGAGTTTCATCTTCAAAATGAGGATGGTTCTGAAGGCTTTTGTATGCCTTTTTTTTTGAGGGGGGGAGGTTTTTGCTATAGGGCACGTGCACTCGCCAGACAGACAGACAGACAGACAGAAAGCAAGAAATCACCCCCCAGGGGGGATGGCCATGCCGCAGTCCCTTCTCCTCTGTTCTCCTCTCGGGATCTTGGGCACGCATGCACACGCGCCTGGCTTGAGTTTTAAGCAAATGGGTCCGGGACGCGAACCGTGGTCGACT